TTAAAGGTACTTTCAAGCATAGCAGCAAATGTCCAACTAAACAAGATTGGTACAAGCATGCACCCCTGCTTTATGACATTTGAAACACGGAAAGAATCAGATAACTTGCTTTTTTTTTCTAGCTTGCTGGTGTGGATAGATTCATGGAATTGTTTGACAATTCTGATAAACTTCTGTGGACAATACACACTATGGATAAAATATACTGTAGAAAAGACAGAACATGTATCAGATAAAGAAATATCACAACAAATAAACAATTTTGAAGTTGTGGGTGCTGCGGTACAGAAGGTGCACATTCTGGAATTATTAATACTTTTTTGTAATGAAATCAAAAATCAATTTATTGAAACTTTTGTTATCAGTGAAGATCAGAACACAGGGTAGAAATTAAAGAAAGAAGGTCATTCAATTATAAAATCTTTTGGTTGATTCTAAGAAACATGATAACTATAAGGGACTTGATAACCACACAATATGACAAGCAATAAATCTTAGTTGTTATCGATGCTGCAAATATCTCACACAAATTAATTTATATCAAGAATAGAATCATGTCACTGAAACAGTTGCTTACTTTACTGAGGAGCGGCTGGCCGAGTGGTTAGAACACAGGGCTGTCAAACGGGAGACCCAGGTTCGAATCTTCAGTAAGGCTAAGAATTTTTTCAGTAGGGGCTCAAAAAATCCTCACCTGCACAGTCATGGCGACGGCACTAGCCATGTGGCCATAAATCCTCACCTGCACAGTCATGGCGACAGCACTAGCCATGTGGCCCTAAATCCTCACCTGCACAGTCATGGCGACGGCACTAGCCATGTGGCCCTAAAGCCTCACCTGCACAGTCATGGCGACGGCACTAGCCATGTGGCCCTAAAGCCTCACCTGCACAGTCATGGCGACGGCACTAGCCATGTGGCTCTAAATCCTCACCTGCACAGTCATGGCGACGGCACTAGCCATGTGACTCTAAATCCTCACCTGACCAGTCATGGCGACGGCACTAGCCATGTGGCCCTAAATCCTCACCTGACTAGTCATGGCGACGGCACTAGCCATGTGGCCCTAAAACCTCACCTGATCAGTCATGGCGACGGCACTAGCCATGTGGCCCTAAATCCTCACCTGACCAGTCATGGCGACGGCACTAGCCATGTGGCCCTAAAACCTCACCTGACCAGTCATGGCGACGGCACTAGCCATGTGGCCCTAAATCCTCACCTGACCAGTCATGGCGACGGCACTAGCCCTGTGGCCCTAAATCCTCACCTGACCAGTCATGGCGACGGCACTAGCCATGTGGCCCTAAATCCTCACCTGACCAGTCATGGCGACGGCACTAGCCCTGTGGCCCTAAATCCTCACCTGACCAGTCATGGCGACGGCACTAGCCATGTGGACGCGCACATCCTCAGGCTCAACCCCCCCCCCCCCCCCTACACAGCAAAAGTGGTAAAATAACGCAGTATTTGGCAGTTGTTGTTGGGCTGATTTCACTGCAAGAAGAATGCCTATGACATACAAACTGATTTCACTGCAAGAAGAATGCCTATGACATACAAACTGATTTCACTGCAAGAAGAATGCCTATGACATACAAACTGATTTCACTGCAAGAAGAATGCCTATGACATAAAAACTGATTTCACTGCAAGAAGAATGCCTATGACATACAAACTGATTTCACTGCAAGAAGAATGCCTATGACATACAAACTGATTTCACTGCAAGAAGAATGCCTATGACATACAAACTGATTTCACTGCCAGAAGAATGCCTATGACATACAAACTGATTTCACTGCCAGAAGAATGCCTATGACATACAAACTGATTTCACTGCCAGAAGAATGCCTATGACATACAAACTGATTTCACTGCCAGAAGAATGCCTATGACATACAAACTGATTTCACTGCCAGAAGAATGCCTATGACATACAAACTGATTTCACTGCAAGAAGAATGCCTATGACATACAAACTGATTTCACTGCAAGAAGAATGCCTATGACATACAAACTGATTTTCACTGCAACAAAAGCAAGAAGAATGCCTATGACATACAAACTGATTTCACTGCAAGAAGAATGCCTATGACATACAAACTGATTTCACTGCAAGAAGAATGCCTATGACATACAAACTGATTTCACTGCAAGAAGAATGCCTATGACATACAAACTGATTTCACTGCAAGAAGAATGCCTATGACATACAAACTGATTTCACTGCAAGAAGAATGCCTATGACATACAAACTGATTTCACTGCAAGAAGAATGCCTATGACATACAAACTGATTTCACTGCAAGAAGAATGCCTATGACATACAAACTGATTTCACTGCAAGAAGAATGCCTATGACATACAAACTGATTTCACTGCAAGAAGAATGCCTATGACATACAAACTGATTTCACTGCAAGAAGAATTGAATGCCTATGACATAAAAACTGATTTCACTGCAAGAAGAAGATGGCCTATATGACATACAAACTGATTTCACTGCCAAGAAAGAATGCCTATGACATACAAACTGATTTCACTGCAAGAAGAATGCCTATGACATACAAACTGATTTTCACTGCAAGAAGAATGCACCTATGACATACAAACTGATTTCACTGCAAGAGAAGAATGCCTATGACCATACAAACTGATTTCACTGCCAAGAAGAATGCCTATGACATACAAACTGATTTCACTGCAAGAATAATGCCTATGACATAACAAAACTGATTTCACTGCAAGAAGAAATGCCTATGACATACAAAACTGATTTCACTGCAAGAAGAATGCCTATGACACATAGTCAAACTGATTTCACTGCAAGAAGAATGCCTATGACATACAAACTGATTTCACTGCAAGAAGAAATGCCTAGACATACAAACTGATTTCACTGCCAGAAGAATGCCTATGACATACAAAATGATTTCACTGCCAGAAAAAGAATGGCCTATGACATACAACTGATTTCACTGCCAGAAGAATGCCTAATGACATACAAAACTGATTTCACTGCCAGAGAAGAATGCCTATGACATACAAACTGATTTCACTGCAAGAAGAGAATGCACTATGACATAACAAACTGATTTCACTGGTCAAGAAGAATGGGCCTATGACATACAAACTGATTTCACTGCAAGAAGAATGCCTATGACATACAAACTGATTTCACTGCCCCAAGAAGAATGCCTATGACATACAAACTGATTTTCACTGCAAAGAAGAATGCCTATGACATACAAACTGATTTCACTGCAAGAAGAATGCCCTATGACATACAAAACTGATTTCACTGCAAGCAAAGAATGCCTATGAGCATACAAACTGATTTCACTGGTGCCAGAAGAATGCCTATGACATACAAACTGATTTCACTGCCAGAAGAATGCTATGACATACAAACTGATTTCACTGCCAGAAGAATGCCTATGACAGTACAAACTGATTTCACTGCCAGAAGAATGCCTATGACATACAAACTGATTTCACTGCCAGAAGAATGCCTATGACATACAAACTGATTTCACTGCAAGAAGAATGCCTATGACATACAAACTGATTTCACTGCAAGAAGAATGCCTATGACATACAAACGATGTAAACAATTCAACAATGAATATTTCAGACAGCTAATATTTATCATTCATGTGTACAATGTTCAAATTCATTTGATGAAAACCATCTTTTTCCTGTGAAATCTGACATGTGTATCCCAGAAATCCTAACTTGTGCAAATTATATACACACATACACACACACATATATAATTAGCACAGATAGAGATGCACATAACCTCAGACACTTGGTGGTTACTGTGGCCTAAAATATACTGATAACACCAGTCCTTACCTAACCTCAGACACTTGGTGGTTACTGTGGCCTAAAATATACTGATAACATCAGTCCTTACCTAACCTCAGACCCTTGGTGGTTACTGTGGCCCAAAATATACTGATAACATCAGTCCTTACCTAACAGAAAATATGCAGATCCAAAAACATTTCATGTGAAACTCAGCTACGACTGCACAAAGCACTAGTTATTAGTACGTTGACATCTGGCTGTGAAACGTGGACTTTAACAGTTGAACTGGAAAAGTAGATACAAGCATATCATAAAGAGACCACATCACAAATGACAAGGTTCATTGTATAATGACCCAGCAGACCATTGGCAACTACTACTCTTCTATAACTACAGTAATACGATGACAAATGCAATCATACAGAAATGTAATTTCATCTAATGGCCTCTCAAAAAGAATGCTACAGAGCTCAGTAGAGGGGAAGAGGTGAAAAGGGGAAGAGGTTAAAAGGAGAAGAGGCAGACCAAGAAAGACCTGGATACATAGCTTGACTGACTGGACAGGTTTTAGGCATGCAACCGTCAAGTCCAAGGCAACTGACCGTAACAGGTGAAGGGAGCTGGTCAGTCAACAGCAGCTGGTAACTCAACAACATGCAGTGAGGCGTGGATGAAGATGGCTTAAACATACACTGCAGTTCAAACACAGACATGAGACAGAAATATGATGTTATGACCTGCTTATAACAGTTTGACTTTACTGACCTCTAGTTCAGTCAGATTTTAACATGTACAAAATGCTGTTCAATTTCTAATCATCAGCTTTCATAGCTTCCTGTATGTATTTATTTATTACGGTAAGTTAGCAACAGCTGTGGCTTCAAGTCATAATCCATCTTGAAAATGATGTTAGAAAACAAAAACAAAAACTAATAATTACAAAGATTTCAACAACAATGACTAAATATACGTTAAATCTGCCATTTCTATTAACTTGGTATTCTTCACTTACATTGCTAATAAAAAAAGCTATGAAATATTAAAACTATGGAATAAAGATCTTTGTGCAATATCATTACACAGTTTATTTGTTAAGATGATATTAACAATGTAATCCAAGTTTCTAACTTCACAGATGTCAATTAACAGATTTCAGTGAAAGCCTCCACAAGAAACAATTTTAGTTATACAACTGATGAATCATCTGCACTGCCAGATCTGGGGAAAAAATATGAAACACAAAGTAAGTACACTGTCACACAAATATGAAACACATATTAAGTACACTGTCACACAAATATGAAACACAAAGTAAGTACACTGTCACAGAAATAAACAACCTTCATTTTATTGATTATCTTTATCCTGTTGTCACACTGGGGCTCACAGTCTAGTCCTCCCTTCCATTCTAGCCTGTTGTCACACTGGGGCTCACAGTCTAGTCCTCCCTTCCATTGTAGCCTGTTGTCACACTGGGGCTCACAGTCTAGTCTTCCCTTCCTTTCTAGCCTGTTGTCACACTGGGGCTCACAGTCTAGTACTCCCTTTTATTCTACCCTGTGCAATCAATTCAATATCACCCATAATATCCAGTCTAGCAGCTTTGGCTTCTCTCATCAACATCCATCTCATGGTTTCTTTTTTGGCGTACAGACATTTCTCTGATTTCTTCACTTTTTTAAAATTCATGCCATTTAAAAAAAAACAGATTGACATAAATATGGAAAGCACTTCTAAACAAGAGATAGTACCAAGGTCATTTGATAAAAGTCCGGCTGCGCCAAGACTTGAACCCACGACCTATGGATCCACAAGTAAGCATCTAGCGGCTACTTGATGGCTCCCTCTATTTTAAGACATATTTTTACAACTAAAAGAACAAAAACATAATAATTCAGATAATAGCTCATTACAAGTAAATTCAATTTGCAACACAATAATTGCACATTACTGATCTGTGTATGTTTATTTTAAAAAAAAAGTTTTTTAAAACTTTAAAAGAAATGATCAACAATGCAAAATGTCATATGGCTTTTTTTCCCAAGTTCTAAGCTAATTTTAAAACATCATGTTTTGTCATTTGAAAAACTGCATTCAACTTTTGTGTTGTTAATATAAGGATTGATATACCTGCACTTTGAAAAATCTGCTTTAGATTTACTTGACTGTGTTATTAAAAAAAAAACAAATTTGTATTCATATGCACCAAATATGTAATTATTATTCCACATTTATACCTAGTATATTTGGGGGGCTGCGTGGTCTTGAGGTAAAGTGTCTGCCTCTAGTGCAAGAGGTCCTGTGTTCAAACCCCGGTATTTCATTATGTCATTAAATACAAATTTTGCAAAGAATTAACAGATTTCCTTGCCTTTGACAATGAAACTTTTACCACAGCCACATCCAGCAAAGTGAGATGACATTATGATCAGATCACAGAGACCAACAAAAAAAAAAAGCCATTTTTGTTTAACCTTCAAACATATATGGCATTTATTTCAAGACTGAAAGACTTGCAAAATGAATGCTGACACTGGAACAATCCAGTCGGATGTTAACCAGAAAATGACCTGGACTCCCAGCCTAAAACGGGTACCAGGTAAAGTCCTGGGAAGTAAAAGTGGCCGACTTGATGCTAACAACATTATCCATAGAGTACCTACCCACTGGTCTACAATGGATATGTCTGGCACTCTATAATCAACATGCCTAAGGGACTTACATTTGACTTTACAGAACATCAAAACCAAAGAAGAGAATGATTATGCAGAAACACAGGAAAGATAGCTCAGGATGGATAGTAGGAGAAAAAACAAAAACAGAACACTGGCATCTAAAACAAAGTATCCAAAAGATACCATTCTTCAAAAGTGCAAGAGATCATTAACCCCCCCCACCCCCCCCCCCCCCCCCCCCCCATCTACATATTAGAATTGTACTTTCTTGCTCTTCAGCTAAGAAGAACACCCGAGTTCCATTAAAATCAACCATTGTTCTAAGCGGCTAGATTATATCCATGAGTTATCAGTTAAGAACCAACATATAGCACTTCGGACATTTCCATAAGCGCTCCATTCCCATCTTCAGCAGCAAGCGCAAAGTTCCAATTTCAATGATACCACCAGTAACAGTAAGATGGTATGTCCATCTGGACCTCTACCCTGAATGTTCAGCACTAGCCAGATCTGCTGGTCACTCCCCACTGCAGCCTCTCTACCGATGACCGGCTCCACTTTGCTGACCAACAAGCTGGAGCATTACTGTCTCCCATTACCAAGGGTGTTTGAAGATTTTTGTAAAAATGACTGCTTTTCTAATAAAATTCATTAAAATTTTTTTTAAAGGCGTAGGGTATTGAAACTTTTCAAGGCCCATTAGGAATGGTTGCTACACATGAAAACAAATATGTTATGCAAATATGTCACATGATCATGGTGGCCATCTTGGATTTGTTTTGCTATTTATAGAAATTTCAAGAGATGTTTGAAAACCATCATCTTTTCCAAGTTTTAGGTGAATTTGTTCAACTTCAATGCAATAAAATGTTGGGGACATGGTTGGCAATGAATAAAATAAGCGTTGTATGAGTATTTTTGTAACGATAACTTTGCTAACCAACAATCCGAAGCATTACTATCTTCCATTACCAAGGGTGTCTGAAATTTTTTTTTTAAACGACTCGTTTTCTATTTAAATTCATAAACATTTTTTTAAAAGGTGTAGGGTATTGAAACTTTGTGAGGCCCATTAGGAATGGTTGCTACACACACAAAAAAAGTTATGCAAATATGTCACATGATTATGGTGGCCATCTTAGATTTATTTGGCTATTTATAGAAATTTCAGGATCTGTTTTAAAACCATTATCTTTTTCCACTTTTTAGTGAATTTATTCAACTTCAATGCAATAAAATGTTGGGGACATGGTTGGCAATGAATAAAATAAACTTTGTTTGAGTACTTTTTTAACGATTAACCAAATATTTCAACATTAAAATGAAACAAAAATTGAATAAACTAAAAAAAATTTTATGTTTTCTTTCTTGAGTGTATTGTGTTTATGTGGCATGTTACAATGAGGATTTGTGAATGTTTGATTACAAAAACACTTCTAACCTCTAGCTAAAGTCTGAGCTACTTCATTCATTCACTGAAGTTGAAGCTGTAGCTGTAGAACTCTGAAAGAGTCTTTGTCGGGAACATTGATAATCCTCAACTTTATGGTATAGCTTGAAACAGGGTGTCAAGCATAGAGGTGTATTGCAATCTGGGCAGTACATGCAAGTCTGGCTTCTTTTACACTTTACAATCTGGTTTGTACTTTGGCTTTTCATATTTTTCAATAAAAATGGCGTTCGGTAAGTCGTGATGTTGTGACTTGTGGTCTTGAAGTTATTACGTTGTGCCGAAGAACAGCAGGTCCGATAAGAGCAAGACTGACATCCTGCCTGAACTTCTTTGCTGTTATCTTATTTGTAGAGTTGACAGTGTTGTAGCTTACATGCCCATTCACCAGAGCAGTTTCAACTAAAAAATGATACAATGGCAGGTACCATTTATAGGATCTGTGTGGGTATGGGTAGTTTGTAGCAAGTTGGCCGAAGTGATCGACACCACCCATACTTTTGTTGTATTTTTCAGCCAGAACAGGCTTGTTGATAATTTTGCCCTTTTTTCTAACTGTCTTATCCATGACATCATTTGAGTGAACAGTAGAAATTAGGTTAACTCTCTTGGTATCATGCCAGGAAACGGCCAACATGCCTTTATCGTCTGTTACACAAAACACAGGATTATCTGCCTTTTTCAGTTTCAGCTGCTTTTTCTTTAACATCTCAGGAAAATGCTTCCTTCTTTCAGACACTGTGCCACATGCACCAATCTGCATTTCTTTTAGCTCTTGAAATAAAGCTGGGCTTGAATAAAAACTGTCACAGTACAGAATATGTCCTTTATATTCGTATCTGTCAAGAAGACGTTTAACAAGTGTGGAAGTCGTCCCGACACAACCTTCATTATTTGCCTTACCAGTATAAATCTCTAGTTTTAAGCAATACTGAGTTTTAGCATCGGTAAGCACAAATAACTTGAATCCCCGCTTTGCTGGCAGGTACTGCTTAAAATATATTCTGCCTTTGAACCGCACCATTGATTCATCTATGGATAACTCACATCCAGGTGTGTAGTTTTCCCTGTATGTAGGCAATATGATGTCTAGTAGGGGCCTGAGTTTGAACAAGGGATCATACCCAGGCTGTCCTCTTTCATTTCTGACATCATTATTGTTGAAATGAAGATTTCTGTGAAGCAGTTGATATCTGTTTCGACTCATGGCCCTCAAATATGCTGTTTCCTTCAGCAAAAAATTCTTAGACCAGTAGTCTGAAACTGCTGGTTTACAGCACATTCCCATACCAATGTGAAGGCCTATAAATGCAGAAATGTCAACTGCATCAGTGTTCTCCTAGTAAGTTTTTTGTACTTAGCACTTCCAGTGTACTGAGACAGGTGATTTCACCAACTGAAGTACCTGGAATCACCTTTGACAGAAGTTTGTCTTTTAAGGATCACATACAGGAGGTTGTGACAAAAGCTTAAAAAGGTCTTAATACACTCAAGACAATGGTATCAATGGACATGGAGCAGAGAATGCTGTTCACACTTTATCAACACTTGGATTATTCACTACCTCGAAGAGTCAGCTGGAGAAACTGGAGCTCATACAGAATTTAGCTGTGCGGATGATCCTGGGATGTATAAGAGACACTCGATTGTGTGTATGCAAAACATACTTGAACTGCCAACTACTGCAGATAGGCTAAAGGTTCTGCAGCCTAAGGCATACCTCAGAGTAGCTGTAGACAAAAAACACCCTCTGTATGAAGCTTTGGCTGCAGTTAAGGGTCAGAGGTTGAAAAGGGGAAAATCATGGATGATTCAAGAAGGAGATACAATAAGACAAGTATGCATGCTAGAGAACATTAGGCGAGGAGAGGAGTGGGTCAGAGTACCAGAGAAAAAGTCTGACCTATGTAGGGTCATGATCACATTGGACCAGGAGTGTACATAGTGCTACGGAGGTGGAAGTCCAAAAGTTGATTCACAATTCTTGCACAGATTATCTTATTATCTACACAAATAGTTCTGTGTTAAGAGGGAAGAGAAGTGCCTGGAGTTTCGTAGGGAAAGCCAGTATAAAATTTTTAGTAGACAGCCTAGCATATGATACCACATCTAGCGAAGGAATGGAGGTGGATGCGGTCACTGCAGCTTTCCGGTGGCTAGAGAACAAGATGCACACACACATGTCGTGATTGTAAGAGACTGTGAAAGCATGCTGAGAAAGGTGAAGACAGGGATGCCTTGAGCAGAGTGGCAAGCTACAATGGGAAAGTTATGGGTAGTGAGCATACTTTTCACCATGCCATGCTGTTGCAATAGGGAATGAACAGGCAGACAGATTGGTTGGATCTGCACCAGTGAGGGGTGAATTGGCAGATGTGGTTAAGGCCCTTTTTAAGTGCAAGTAACAAAGTCAGAAGAGAAAAAAGATATTATGGCCTGGAGAGAATGATGCATCTGGGTGTAACCAGAGGGTCTAGACGGCTGACTACACTCACAGGAAAGGCAAGAGGGTCATATAACCAGAGGGTCTAGACGGCTGACTACACTCACAGGAAAGGCAAGAGGGTCATATAACCAGAATGTGACCAGTATCATCAGTACTTGAACTCTGCTCTGGCTGCTGAAGATAAGGACGGAGCACAGATGGAAATGCCCTGAGGGCTGTGATGTCATGGCACATGATGATGATGATGAAGACAACTTCTTATAAACATCAGAAAAAGACAGTCATTATTATTTGTTTGCTGTGTTATGAGAAGAGGGAAACTGGAACATGTTGCGACCACTCAAAAGATCTGTGGAAAGAGAGACAAGAGAAGGCAGTACAAGAGGATTCTTGAAAATCTTTTGTCATGCATGAAGGGGTGTCAACACACAAACTAATACACACAGTTGCAGATCACAGATTGGGGAGAGGCATGATTGCCCACGCCAGTCAGCAAGGCACTTGATGATGATATGGTGATGAATGTTACTCTCATAATCTGCTAGGTATTTTATTCTAGGACACAGTGGCATCACAGTTACTTTCAGAAAGTGCATTTTTTCTCCGAAACAGTATCAGAACTGTTACCTAGATTGAATAACAACTGACTAAAGCTGTAGTGCCAAGAAAAACATCTGCCTTGTCATGTATCAGTTCACCACCCAGTGGTGCAGATCCAGCCAATCTGTCTGCCTGTTCAATACACACCACGCCGGCATGGCCTGGAGAAAAGATCCAAGGTATGCTCACTACCTGTGACCTCACAGTGAAGCTTGCCACTCTGCTCGAAGCATCCCTGTCTTCTCCTTTCTCAGCATGCTTTCAGCATGATCATGGTTCACCATCTCAGAAGAGACTTGGATCGAGTCTATGTTCTTGCCCAATTATGCTATGTGGCCAAGTCATCCATGTATTTTATGTGTCTTCCCCTTTCACTTCTCCCATCAAAGTTACCAACTGTGATTAAGTTACCATGCTTAAAAAAAATGAATCATAAATATCTACTGTGAATTATCAAATCATTAATGTACTAAGAAAAGTACAATGGTGGTTTCACACAGTATTTTGCAATTTTATTTACAGTTAAATTCCACTTTACTGAAACACAAAACACACTTCAATACGACTGGAAAAAAAAGAAAAGAAAGAAGACATGACAATAATGTAAACACAAGTTGGATAAGTTGGAACTAATATTTACCTATCTTTATTCGATGCGTGAGTGCTGAACTCCATCATTGCAGTGCTGCTTCCACTGGCAACTGCGCTGGTACTGCTGCTGCTGCTGGCTGTGCTGGTGCATGCACTAGAAGCTGGGTTCATCTCCTGGATGTTGCCTCCTGTTTGTGAACCAGCAGAAGCCTCTGTAGCAATCCCACATGCAGTTTGTCCACTATTTGTTACACCAGAAGTTACTGCTGTGGCAAGTATGTTACTGTTTATCACATTGCTACTATTGTTGTTACAGTTGTCACTAGAAAGTACACCATTATTAGAAGCTGGTGGTTTTGCTGCTGAGGGTATTTTGTCCTTGTCCTTTTTATCTTCTTTATTGTGTTTCAGGAAGTTAAAAGTCCAAGTCTGCAGATCTAAAGAAAAACAGTCACAATTAGTATTCATCTCATTCACTCCAATTTAATATTTTATTTGTCAATAAGCAACCACACAGACTGTATTAACATGTTACCAGTTACTGAAACCTTCATCAAATTCTACATGAAACTGTCTTTTTTCTCTTCTTACTATCTTTAGTTTGAAAGTATATGTCTACCAACAAATTGTCAAAGTTTCAGTTAACCCACTGACTGTCATGCCCTTGCACTTTCCCAGATACCACGTATTTTAAGTGTGTATTAGACACAACTTCCCAACCATTTGACAGAAACTCATCATATTTGGTATTTTTCCACCAAATTGAATGGATGAAAAGAAAAAAGTTTGCTTATTCTGTTTGACATCATCATCATGTGGCTGTACATTGGCAACTGAGATATCATTTACCTGTCAACAATATAGACTTGTGAAAAATGTCACATTCAACAAACACATATCTTATTTTGCATTTTTGCACAAAATTGACTGGAGACACATTTTAAAAAACAAGCTGATTTTACTTTGTTTTACACCATCATCATCATGTGGCTGTAGTTTGGTGCAAATAAGGTAACCGAAAAATTTATCTGCCAACAATACAGACTAACTAAAAATGGCATAAATTCACAACCATTCAACATACACTCAACATATTTTGTATTTTTACACCCAATTAAATGGAGAACAAATTGTGAGACATAAAAACAAAGTTCATTTTGTTTGACATCATTACAGTTTGGCTGTAGATATGGTGCAAAAAAAAAAAAAAGCAAATGTAAAATCTTTTATCTGACAACAATGTAGACAAATAAAAATAAAAATAACTGTTTTATCAAATATAGAAAATGATGTGTATTTGATTGAATGTACAGAAGCTGAAACTTACTGTTATGTGTGGTGTCTTTCTTGGATGAAACTTACTGTTATGTGTGGTGTCTTTCTTGGATGAAACTTACTGTTATGAGTGGTGTCTTTCTTGGATGAAACTTACTGTTATGAGTGGTGTCTTTCTTGGATGAAACTTACTGTTATGTGTGGTGTCTTTCTTGAATGAAACTTACTGTTATGTGTGGTGTCTTTCTTGGATGAAACTTACTGTTATGTGTGGTGTCTTTCTTGGATGAAACTTACTGTTATGTGTGGTGTCTTTCTTGGATGAAACTTACTGTTATGTGTGGTGTCTTTCTTGGATGAAACTTACTGTTATAGGTGGTGTCTTTCTTGGATGAAACTTACTGTTATGTATGTGTCTTTCTTGGATGAAACTTACTGTTATAGGTGGTGTCTTTCTTGGATGAAACTTACTGTTATGGGTGGTGTCTTTCTTGGATGAAACTTACTGTTATGTGTGGTGTCTTTCTTGAATGAAACTTACTGTTATGGGTGGTGTCTTTCTTGGATGAAACTTACTGTTATGTGTGGTGTCTTTCTTGGATGAAACTTACTGTTATGTGTGGTGTCTTACTTGGATGAAACTTACTGTTATAGGTGGTGTCTTTCTTGGATGAAACTTACTGTTATGTGTGGTGTCTTTCTTGGATGAAACTTACTGTTATGGGTGGTGTCTTACTTGGATGAAACTTACTGTTATGTGTGGTGTCTTTCTTGAATGAAACTTACTGTTATGTGTGGTGTCTTTCTTGAATGAAACTTACTGTTATGGGTGGTGTCTTTCTTGGATGAAACTTACTGTTATGTGTGGTGTCTTTCTTGGATGAAACTTACTGTTATGTGTGGTGTCTTTCTTGGATGAAACTTACTGTTATGTGTGGTGTCTTTCTTGGATGAAACTTACTGTTATGGGTGGTGTCTTACTTGGATGAAACTTACTGTTATGTGTGGTGTCTTTCTTGGATGAAACTTACTGTTATGTGTGGTGTCTTTGTTGAATGGAACTTACTGTTTATGGGTGGTGTCTTTCTTGGATGAAACTTACTGTTATGTGTGGTGTCTTTCTTGGATGAAACTTACTGTTATGTGTGGTGTCTTTCTTGAATGAAACTTACTGTTATGTGTGGTGTCTTTCTTGGATGAAACTTACTGTTATGGGTGGTGTCTTTCTTGGATGAAACTTACTGTTATGTGTGGTGTCTTTCTTGGATGAAACTTACTGTTATGTGTGGTGTCTTTCTTGGATGAAACTTACTGTTATGTGTGGTGTCTTTCTTGGATGAAACTTACTGTTATGTGTGGTGTCTTTCTTGGATGAAACTTACTGTTATGTGTGGTGTCTTTGTTGAATGAAACTTACTGTTTATGGGTGGTGTCTTTCTTGGATGAAACTTACTGTTATGGGTGGTGTCTTTCTTGGATGAAACTTACTGTTATGTGTGGTGTCTTTCTTGGATGAAACTTACTGTTATGTGTGGTGTCTTTCTTGGATGAAACTTACTGTTATGTGTGGTGTCTTTCTTGGATGAAACTTACTGTTATGGGTGGTGTCTTACTTGGATGAAACTTACTGTTATGTGTGGTGTCTTTCTTGGATGAAACTTACTGTTATGTGTGGTGTCTTTGTTGAATGAAACTTACTGTTATGGGTGGTGTCTTTCTTGGATGATGATGTTGCAGATGTGGAACCTCTCTTAGGGGACTTTTCTTTATCTTTCATCTCTCGTTTACGAGGTTTATGCTCTGAATCAGTTTCAGCTTTCCTATTTAAAAAAGATTCACATATTTCTATTTATGAATTTTAGTCAACATTAACTATCTGATTAAAAATACATTAGGAGAATCAATTTAGGGTCTGTCTTTAGGTGTGTCTATCAATCTGTCTATAGGTGTGTCTATCAATCTGTCTATAGGTGTGTCTATCAATCTGTCTATAGGAGTGTCTATCAATCTGTCTATAGGTGTGTCTATCAATCTGTCTATGGGTGTGTCTATCAATCTGTCTATAGGTGTGTCTATCAATCTGTCTATAGGTGTGTCTATCAGTCTGTCTATAGGTGTGCCTATCAGTCTGTCTATAGGTGTGCCTATCAGTCTGTCTATAGGTGTGCCTATCAGTCTGTCTATAGGTGTGTCTATCAATCTGTCTATAGGTGTGTCTATCAATCTGTCTATAGGTGTGTCTATCAATCTGTCTACAGGTGTGTCTATCAATCTGTCTATAGGTGTGTCTATCAATCTGTCTATAGGTGTGTCTATCAATCTGTCTATAGGTGTGTCTATCAATCTGTCTATGGGTGTGTCTATCAATCTGTCTATAGGTGTGTCTATCAATCTGTCTATAGGTGTGTCTATCAGTCTGTCAATAATAAAGTGAGGAAACGAGGGTTTCCAAGACAAATCTTACAATGAACACGGATGAGAGAGGCCAGAGGTGCTGGGTTAAATCCTACGAATCCATAACTGTTCACAACATTATGGTTAGCTAATTATTTCTGCTAGTGCATAACTGTTTCACATTTCAAGCCTGCTGCATGAGACTGTTTTCCCCCTGCCTGGGCTATTATCTGAAGATGTGACACCCTGAAATTATACAATCTTATTCTGGCTAGCAAACCAACAAGGCACATCCTAGATAATCCATTCAACCTCAGAAAAAAAGATATAACTAGGGTAGCCATAACGCAGACACCACACTGGTGTCACCTGTAGTCCATTGAGGTAGGAAGTTAACAAGAAAATGTGAACACCAGCAGCTAGGTAGCTAGTTCCTCCCTTCCAGGATTGCAGACTGTAAGATAAACACCTTGAGAATGAGAATCAAATCAAATCCCAGAAGCCCTGTTTTACAGTATAAAGAAATTATATTGAAACCCCTGACATAAGTTACTTAGTTACAAAGCTGAATGAAATTAAAACTTTTCCACATAAATAAAATTTTAAAAAGTCAACTTACATGACTCTAGGCGACTGTGCCTGTGAGCTCAAGATGGCGGAACCCAGGTCGTACTCTTCTAAAGTCATCAGTTCGTCAAGACTTGCATCCAGTTCTGTTTATAATCATTAGTGAATGAATAAATGAATCAACAACTGACAAGAGAAACAGAGGACTGGCTAGTGACTGAATAAATGAATCAACAACTGACAAGAGAAACAGAGGACTGGCTAGTGAATGAATAAATGAATCAACAACTGACAAGAGAAACAGAGGACTGGCTAGTGAATGAATAAATGAATCAACAACTGACACCACTACTCTAAGGATATTCCTTTACGTGCTCTGTGTAGGATATCATCAACCTTACAAGAGCCTATCAGTGTAGGATATCATCAACCTTGCAAGAGCCTATCAGTGTAAGATATAATCAACCTTGCAAGAGCCTATCAGTGTAGGATATTATCAACCTTGCCAGAGCCTATCAGTGTAGGATATTATCAACCTTGCAAGAGCCTATCAGTGTAAGATATCATAAATCTTGCCAGAGCCTAACAGTGTAGGATATCATCAACCTTGCAAGAGCCTAACAGTGTAGGATATCATCAATCTTGTAGGAGCCTATCAGTGTAGGATATCATCAATCTTGTAGGAGTCTATCAGTGTAGGATATCATCAATCTTGTAGAAGCCTATCAGTGTAGGATATCATCAATCTTGTAGGAGCCTATCAGTGTAGGATGTCATCAACCTTGCAAGAGCCTATCAGTGTAGGATATCATCAACCTTGCAAGAGCCTATCAGTGTAGGATATCATCAACCTTGCAAGAGCCTAACACTGTAGGATATCATCAATCTTGTAGGAGCCTATCAGTGTAGTATATCATCAATCTTGTAGGAGCCTATCAGTGTAGGATATCATCAACCTTGCAAGAGCCTATCAGTGTAGGATATCATCAACCTTGCAAGAGCCTAACAGTGTAGGATATCATCAATCTTGTAAGAGCCTAACAGTGTAGGATATCATCAATCTTGTAGGAGCCTATCAGTGTAGGATATCATCAATCTTGTAGGAGCCTATCAGTGTAGGATATCATCAATCTTGTAGGAGCCTATCAGTGTAGGATATCCTCAATCTTGTAGGAGCCTATCAGTGTAGGATATCATCAATCTTGTAGGAGCCTATCAGTGTAGGATATCATCAATCTTGTAGGAGCCTATCAGTGTAGGATATCATCAATCTTGTAGGAGCCTATCAGTGTAGGATATCATCAATCTTGTAGGAGCCTATCAGTGTAGGATATCATTAACCTTGCAAGAGCCTATCAGTGTAGGATATCATCAATCTTGTAGGAGCCTATCAGTGTAGGATATCCTCAATCTTGTAGGAGCCTATCAGTGTAGGATATCATCAATCTTGTAGGAGCCTATCAGTGTAGGATATCAGCAATCTTGTAGGAGCCTATCAGTGTAGGATATCATCAATCTTGTAGGAGCCTATCAGTGTAGGATATCATTAACCTTGCAAGAGCCTATAAGTGTAGGATATCATCAAACTTGCAAGAGCCTATCAGTGTAGGATGTCATCAATCACATGTAGACAATTTACAGATTTTTACAAGATTTGCTGTTTATTTTTGTCTCCATGTGTAAGTTACTTTATGTAGGAAATCATGTTGAAAAATTACATGTACATTGCAAACCTTCCTGATACATAAATGTAAAACACAAAACAAAAAAACCGTTTCACGTCTTCAGGCATATTGGGCATATAGGGCAAGACCTATATTTTACAGACCAGTCGGCATTTAGTTGGGGATGGCGTCAACATCAAGCCGTCTACCTTTCCTTCCCCAAACTTGACCTTGACCTATTTAAGACTAGTCAACTTGGCAGCCAAGGTTATTTTTATTTTAAAAGTCCAGCTCTGTCGGGACCTAAACTCACAATCTTCGGATCTGCAGGCCAGCGACTTGCCGCTACACCATGGGAGCTCCTGATACATAAAGGTTAGGCAGCAAATATTTACGTCTGAAATGAAAGAGGCCTAGGAAAAAAAAAAGAAAAAAAAACAACTAGGTATGATGATGAAATAGGCTGGTCCAAAATGTCTTATAGGAAGGCTAACCTGTCTTTAGTCATGGCAGATGTCTACATCTGATGGTTAGCCTATGAATTTCCCCCATATGTGGACTGAAAGTATGTAGTTCCGTTACCCAGCTACAAAGCTGAATACATGATACAAAACTGTGAGCTGTACATTTCATTTAGCAAGTTTTTTTGTCTGTTGCAAACTGGGTTTCTGTTGTAAACTGCAGATTGAGCAAGTGGCATGTGGCCCGCTGCCACACAACTGGTGCAGCATTATGCCATTAAAGCAAGTGGCATGTGGGCCCGCTGCCACACAACTGGTGCAGCATTATGCCATTAATGCAAGTGGCATGTGGGCCCGCTGCCACACAACTGGTGCAGCATTATGCCATTAATGCAAGTGGCATGTGGGCCCGCTGCCACACAACTGGTGCAGCATTGAACCATTAATGCAAGTGGCATGTGGCCCGCTGCCACACAACTGGTGCAGCATTGAACCATTAATGCAAGTGGCATGTGGCCCGCTGCCACACAACTGGTGCAGCATTGAACAATTAATGCAAGTGGCATGTGGGCCCGCTGCCACACAACTGGTGCAGCATTGAACCATTAATGCAAGTGGCATGTGGCCCGCTGCCACACAACTGCTGCCACACAACTGATGCAGCATTGAACCATTAATGCAAGTGGCATGTGGCCTGCTGCCACACAACTGCTGTCACACAACTGGTGCAGCATTGAACCATTAATGCAAGTGGCATGTGGCCCGCTGCCACACAACTGGTGCAGCATTGAACAATTAATGCAAGTGGCATGTGGCCTGCTGCCACACAACTGCTGTCACACAACTGGTGCAGCATTGAACCATTAATGCAAGTGGCATGTGGCCCGCTGCCACACAACTGGTGCAGCATTGAACCATTAATGCAAGTGGCATGTGGCCCGCTGCCACACAACTGGTGCAGCATTATGCCATTAATGCAAGTGCAATTACGTACTTGTAACTGCTGCTTCCGTTGACGATGAAGTACATTTCCAGTGCAACAATTGTTCGTGTTGGCACTTCTGATGGCTGCCTTATGCACTTAATGAATGTGTATGCCATTAGCTTTGTGGAGACTGCAATCTGTGTCATTTATTTTAATACAAGGACATAAAAAACGACGTGCATCCTGTGTGGTTTTCCTTGGTACAGGTTCAGAGCAGCTATGGGGGTAACCCATCTGCTGTGAAGTTGGACTGCGAATACCTGATTTATGTGTTAATGAAACAGCTATATCCCTATGGATTATGTATTAATGAAACAGCTATATTCCTATGGATTATGTGTTAATGAAACAGCTATATCCCTATGGATTATGTGTGCAAGAAACAGCTATATCCCTATGGATTATGTGTTCAAGAAACAGCTATATCCCTATGGATTATGTGTTCAAGTAACAGCTATATCCCTATGGATTATGTGTTAATAAAACAGCTATATCCCTATGGATTATGTGTTAATAAAACAGCTTTATCCCTATGGATTATGTGTTAATGAAACAGCTTTATCCCTATGGATTATGTGTTAATGAAACATCTATATCCCTAAGGATTATGTGTTCAAGTAACAGCTATATCCCTATGGATTATGTGTTAATAAAACAGCTATATCCCTATGGATTATGTGTTCAAGTAACAGCTATATCCCTATGGATTATGTGTTGTAATGAAACAGCTATATCCCTATGGATTATGTGTTAATGAAACAGCTATATCCATATGGATTATGTGTTAATGAAACATCTATATCCCTATGGATTATGTTTTAATGAAACAGCTATATCCCTATGGATTATGTGTTAATGAAACAGCTATATCCCTATGGATTATGTGTTCAAGTAACAGCTATATCCCTATGGATTATGTGTTAATGAAACAGCTATATCCCTATGGATTATGTGTTAATGAAACAGCTATATTCCTATGGATTATGAAGAACTGACCTGAAATATTGACAGCAGAAGCCGAATGACCATGTCTATTTTGGCTATAAATATCCCCAGATACAGGTGGGTTGGGTGAATCCAGTAGACAAAGGTCAGATCTTGGTGTTGTGGATTCTAAAGAGTTCCTCAGTGGTTGAACAATAGCCTGCAGGGTGTATTTTGGCCTTTTACCTTTAAAGAATACACAAGGACAGAAATAAAAACATGAGACAAATGATCTAAAACTGAGCTATAAGTATATTCAAGTTTGTTCATTTACACTTGCACACAAACAACAATTTATCTTGTTCAACCTACTTTCTGATAAACTTTTCTTGTAATTAAGTTGCTTTTTTTTTTCTTTTTCTCTGTGAATTATTTTCTGGTCATGTTGTGAGAAAAGAGAAACTGGAACATGCGAACACTGGAAAGATCTGCAGAGGAAAGAGACAGAGGAAGAACATGTGAGAAGATTCTTGACAGTGTTCCTGCATGGCATGCAGAAGTAGCAACACATGAACGGATTCCTGCTGTTGAAGATTGCGGGTTTTAGAGAGGCTTGGTCATCCACACCAGCTGGCATCTCTTTTGATGGTGACCACATGTGTGTGTCTGTATGTGTATATACATATATACATGTAATGTGATGTGGTGAGATGTGTGTGTCTGTATGTGTATATACATATATACATGTAATGTGATGTGGTGAGATGTGTGTGTCTGTATGTGTATATACATATATACATGTAATGTGATGTGGTGATATGTGTGTGTGTCTGTATGTATATATACACACACATGTATCCATGTAATGTGATGTGGTGATATGTGTGTGTCTGTATGTGTATATACACACATTTATACATGTAATGTGATGTGGTGATATGTGTGTGTCTGTATGTGTATATACACACACATATATACACGTAATGTGATGTGGTGATATGTGTGTGTGTGCGCACGCATGTATGTACTCATGTGTGTATAAATAAACGAACAACTAAACAGAGAACTACATACCAATCCTGTATTTCCTGGCCTCAGACTCATTAGTGACAGCAGCATTTGCAGCAGCAATAGTGGAGGCTGCCAGTTCTGAAAACCTGTAACAGTTTACAGCAAGACATTTGGCCACTGCTACTTTCTGTATAATAAACAAACATTTTAAACATGTTGCTTTTATCACTATCTAAGACTTAGTCAATATGTGACTAAGATCTATTCAAACAGAAATATGTCTGATATACAAAACATAACAAATCAATATGTATAATCTGTGCAAATTTTACCTTTGTTGAAAATGCTCTAAGACATCTTCTGCTGATTTTCTGTTGTTAGAAGTTCTCTCACAACTAGCAAGATCAATCCTGTCATTTCCAGTTGCCTGAGGTCCTCCAACCGCACCATCTCCAGTGGCTCTGGCATCATCCCCACTGACACTGTTACTGGCTCCCCCAACACCTGCAGATATATACATGTCAATGACACCTGTCTTGTGTATTATCCCCAAACACCTGCAGATATATACATGTCAATGATACTTGTCTTGTGTATTATCCCCCAACACCTGCAGATATATACATGTCAATGATACTTGTCTTGTGTATTATCCCCCAACACCTGCAGATATATACATGTCAGTGACACTTGTCTTGTGTATTATCCCCCAACAACTACAGATATATACATGTCAATAACACCTGTCTTGTGTATTATCCCCCAACACCTACAGATATATACATGTCAATGACACTTGTCTTGTGTATTATCCCCCAACACCTGCAGATATATACATGTCAATGATACTTGTCTTGTGTATTATCCCCCAACACCTGCAGATATATACATGTCAGTGACACTTGTCTTGTGTATTATCCCCCAACACCTACAGATATATACATGTCAGTGACACTTGTCTTGTGTATTATCCCCCAACACCTGCAGATATATACATGTCAATGACACTTGTCTTGTGTATTATCCCCCAACACCTGCAGATATATACATGTCAATGACACTTGTCTTGTGTATTATCCCCCAACACCTACAGATATATACATGTCAATGACACTTGTCTTGTGTATTATCCCCCAACACCTGCAGATATATACATGTCAATGACACTTGTCTTGTGTATTATCCCCCAACAACTACAGATATATACATGTCAATGACACTTGTGTTGTGTATTATCCCCCAACACCTGCAGATATATACATGTCAATGACACCTGTCTTGTGTATTATCCCCTAACACCTACAGATATATACATGTCAATGACACTTGTCTTGTGTATTATCCCCCAACACCTACAGATATATACATGTCAATGACACCTGTCTTGTGTATTATCCCCCAACACCTACAGATATATACATGTCAATGACACCTGTCTTGTGTATTATCCCCCAACACCTGCAGATATATACATGTCAATAACACCTGTCTTGTGTATTATCCCCCAACACCTACAGATATATACATGTCAATGACACTTGTCTTGTGTATTATCCCCCAACACCTGCAGATATATACATGTCAATGATACTTGTGTATTATCCCCCAACACCTACAGATATATACATGTCAATGACACTTGTGTATTATCCCCCAACACCTGCAGATATATACATGTCAATGATACTTGTGTATTATCCCCCAACACCTGCAGATATATACATGTCAATGATACTTGTGTATTATCCCCCAACACCTACAGATATATACATGTCAATGACACTTGTCTTGTGTATTATCCCCCAACACCTGCAGATATATACATGTCAATTACACCTGTCTTGTGTATAATCCCCCAACACCTGCAGATATATACATGTCAATGATACTTGTGTATTATCCCCCAACACCTACAGATATATACATGTCAATGACACCTGTCTTGTGTATAATCCCCCAACACCTGCAGATATATACATGTCAATGACACTTGTGTATAATCCCCCAACACCTGCAGATATATACATGTCAATGACACTTGTCTTGTGTATAATCCCCCAACACCTGCAGATATATACATGTCAATGACACTTGTCTTGTGTATTATCCCCCAACACCTACAGATATATACATGTCAGTGACACTTGTGTATTATCCCCCAACACCTGCAGATATATACATGTCAATGACACCTGTCTTGTGTATTATCCCCCAACACCTGCAGATATATACATGTCAATGACACTTGTCTTGTGTATTATCCCCCAACACCTGCAGATATATACATGTCAATGACACTTGTCTTGTGTATTATCCCCCAACACTTGCAGATATATACATGTCAATGATACTTGTGTATTATCCCCCAACACCTGCAGATATATAAATGTCAATGACACCTGTCTTGTGTATTATCCCCCAACACCTGCAGATATATACATGTCAGTGACACTTGTCTTGTGTATTATCCCCCAACACCTACAGATATATACATGTCAGTGACACTTGTCTTGTGTATTATCCCCCAACACCTACAGATATATACATGTCAATGACACTTGTGTATTATCCCCCAACACCTGCAGATATATACATGTCAATGATACTTGTGTATAATCCCCCAACACCTACAGATATATAAATGTCAATGACACTTGTCCTGTGTATAATCCCCCAACACCTGCAGATATATACATGTCAATGACACTTGTCTTGTGTATTATCCCCCAACACCTGCAGATATATACATGTCAATAACACTTGTCTTGTGTATTATCCCCCAACACCTGCAGATATATAAATGTCAATGACACCTGTCTTGTGTATTATCCCCCAACAACTACAGATATATACATGTCAATGACACTTGTGTATTATCCCCCAACACCTCATTCATTCAGTAGCATGTCCCTCGCGGAACCTCGCTGCCATAACAACACTCCGGAAAACCTTCCTATCCTGAGCAAGATGTCCTGCGTCTGATACACCCATCTGGAGATCATCTGCCACATCCTGCACCCATCTTCTCCTTGGCCTTCCTCTTCCTCTCTTCCCAGGCATTTACCCCTCCAGTATTGTTCTCTCTAGACTTCCATGACGTTTCAAGTGACCAAAATATTTCAATTTTCTTTGTTTTATTGTCTTTACTAGCCAACCCTCTTCAATATTCAGCTCTTGAAGTATGGATGCATTTGTTCTTTTCTTTACCCAAGATATTCTTAGAACCTGTCTGTAACATTTATATTCAAATGCATTTATGCGCTGTTTCCGCTTGTTTAGTAAGTGTCCAGGTCTCACAGGCGTATGTTGCAATGGGAAAGATGCATGCTCTTAAAAATCTGACCTTTGTAATTCTATCTGTACAATTCCATAATTTATTCAGTTGTTTTAGTCTTTGAAGAGCAATTGATAGTCGCCGTTTAATTTCTTTCATTGTGTCACCATTGTTGGTAACCAGTGACCCAAGATATTCGAAATTTTCCACCACTTCCAATCTTTCCTCATTAACATATATTTCCTTCTCCATGGCAGTTTTGTTTGTATGCATTATCTTTGTTTTTGCTATGTTAAGAAATAAGTTATGATTTTCACTATTTCTTTGGAGTGAGGTTAATAAGTTTTCTAAACCATTTTGTGATGTTGATAGTAATACTGTAATATCATCAGCATAACGAATTTCTGGTATTTCATGACCACCGATGTTTAGGGCATCATATTGTTCCTTGTTTATATCATCCCCTAACACCTACAGATATATAAATGTCAATGACACTTGTCTTGTATATTATCCCCCAACACCTGCAGATATATAAATGTCAATGACACTTGTCTTGTATATTATCCCCCAACACCTGCAGATATATACATGTCAATGACACTTGTCTTGTATATTATCCCCCAACACCTGCAGATATATACATGTCAATGACACTTGTCTTGTATATTATCCCCCAACACCTACAGATATATACATGTCAATGACACTTGTCTTGTGTATTATCCCCCAACACCTACAGATATATAAATGTCAATGATACTTGTGTATTATCCCCCAACACCTGCAGATATATAAATGTCAATGATACTTGTGTTGTGTATTATCCCCCAACACCTGCAGATATATACATGTCAATGATACTTGTCTTGTGTATTATCCCCCAACACCTGCAGATATATAAATGTCAATGACACTTGTCTTGTATATTATCCCCCAACACCTGCAGATATATACATGTCAATGACACTTGTCTTGTGTATTATCCCCCAACACCTACAGATATATAAATGTCAATGATACTTGTGTATTATCCCCCAACACCTGCAGATATATAAATGTCAATGATACTTGTGTTGTGTATTATCCCCCAACACCTGCAGATATATACATGTCAATGATACTTGTCTTGTGTATTATCCCCCAACACCTGCAGATATATAAATGTCAATGACACTTGTCTTGTATATTATCCCCCAACACCTGCAGATATATACATGTCAATGACACTTGTCTTGTGTATTATCCCCCAACACCTACAGATATATAAATGTCAATGATACTTGTGTATTATCCCCCAACACCTGCAGATATATACATGTCAATGATACTTGTGTTGTGTATTATTAGGTAACAAAAACTGTTTGGGTGTTCCAGTTCCAAAGTAAACACCAAAAGAGCTTATATAATCACAAAAAGAATAACATTAACACATTAATCATTAGTGATTAGTGATTAAAATGGATTATCATCACAGCACTCTGGACAGATCCACAGGTGCTCCGATCTCCTTCTCAAAAGCTCCACAAGTGTAAAGCGACTGATGAGGCCTGTTATGTATTGGTTAATGAAACATCTTAGTGAAATGTTTATTTCTTGCAACAAGGCAAAATGATGCCATAAACAAAGCTGACTGCAGCTGAGCTACACCCAACTACTCACTTCAATGAAGTTTTATATTATCAAATGGAAATCAGACAATTCTGATTTCTTCTGTTAAATACTGTTGTAATAATGAAGGAATCTCACCTGAGCTCCTGTCCATCACAGAGAAGAGAGAAGAGATCAGTTGAAGGAAACTCACCTGAGCTCCTGTCCATCACAGAGAAGAGAGAAGAGATCAGTTGAAGGAAACTCACCTGAGCTCCTGTCCATCACAGAGAAGAGAGAAGAGATCAGTTGAAGGAAACTCACCTGAGCTCCTGTCCATCACAGAGAAGAGAGAAGAGATCAGTTGAAGGAAACTCACCTGAGCTCCTGTCCATCACAGAGAAGAGAGAAGAGATCAGTTGAAGGAAACTCACCTGAGCTCCTGTCCATCACAGAGAAGAGATCAGTTGAAGGAAACTCACCTGAGCTCCTGTCCATCACAGAGAAGAGAGAAGAGATCAGTTGAAGGAAACTCACCTGAGCTCCTGTCCATCACAGAGAAGAGAGAAGAGATCAGTTGAGGGAAACTCACCTGAGCTCCTGTCTATCACAGAGAAGAGAGAAGAGATCAGTTGAAGGAAACTCACCTGAGCTCCTGTCCATCACAGAGAAGAGAGAAGAGATCAGTTCAAGGAGGAAACTCACCTGAGCTCCTGTCCATCACAGAGAAGAGAGAAGAGATCAGTTGAAGGAAACTCACCTGAGCTCCTGTCCATCACAGAGAAGAGAGAAGAGATCAGTTCAAGGAAACTCACCTGAGCTCCTGTCCATCACAGAGAAGAGAGAAGAGATCAGTTGAAGGAAACTCACCTGAGCTCCTGTCCATCACAGAGAAGAGAGAAGAGATCAGTTCAAGGAAACTCACCTGAACTCCTGTCCATCACAGAGAAGAGAGAAGAGATCAGTTGAAGGAAACTCACCTAAGCTCCTGTCCATCACAGAGAAGAGAGAAATCAGTTCAAGGAAACTCACCTGAGCTCCTGTCCATCACAGAGAAGAGAGAAGAGATCAGTTGAAGGAAACTCACCTGAGCTCCTGTCCATCACAGAGAAGAGAGAAGAGATCAGTTCAAGGAAACTCACCTGAGCTCCTGTCCATCATAGAGAAGAGAGAAGAGATCAGTTGAAGGAAACTCACCTGAGCTCCTGTCCATCACAGAGAAGAGAGAAGAGATCAGTTCAAGGAAACTCACCTGAGCTCCTGTCCATCACAGAGAAGAGAGAAGAGGCAGCACACAAGCCTCTAGCCAGAGAGTTGACCCCTGTCCCAGCTGTGCCTGGGAAGCTGGTTGCACTACAACTGCCAGTGTGAACCACAGACTTGTCACTGTTGCTGAATGGTTTGTTGAGCTCTAACCCATCTAGCCAGTTGTTGGTCCACAGGCCACCATCACCACTGGTGTCTACAGACATAAACAGGCTACCATCACCACTGGTGTCTACAGACATAAACAGGCTACCATCACCACTGGTGTCTACAGACATAAACAGGCTACCATCACCACTGGTGTCTACAGACATAAACAGGCCACCATCACCACTGGTGTCTACAGAAATCAACAGGCCACCATCACCACTGGTGTCTACAGACATAAACAGGCTACCATCACCACTGGTGTCTACAGACATAAACAGGCTACCATCACCACTGGTGTCTACAGACATAAACAGGCTACCATCACCACTGGTGTCTACAGACATAAACAGGCTACCATCACCACTGGTGTCTACAGACATAAACAGGCTACCATCACCACTGGTGTCTACAGACATAAACAGGCTACCATCACCACTGGTGTCTACAGACATTAACAGGCTACCATCACCACTGGTGTCTACAGAAATCAACAGGCTACCATTTTAAGTTATCTCATGACTACTTAAAGTCATACAAATACGGCAGACAGTGATAATACGGATATTTTTAACAAAATAGCACCCCCACTGAAAACTGCTGGATAGACATCACAAGCCTAAACAGCTCAGCAGGGGAAATTCTCAATGAGTGGAACCTCAAAATGCACTTACCACAAACAACAATAAAGTAAATCATGGCTCACTCATCAGCCTGCGCCCAAACCACAAGTCACTGATGCCCGTCAAGAATGTGTCCTACTAAAGGCTACAAGGTCTACCAAACTCACATCTTACAACATAAGAAATCGGCCATAATGACAATCAGTTTCCCAGTCTACTAAATGCTGGATCAGTGCTATGAGAAATAATGTTGCTTTGTGCAAATGTACACATTTCTTAAAGCCGAAGGACAAACCGTTGGATACTCTCTACAAAGAATGTCTATGGAAAATTTTAAAAATTACTATTGTAACAGCTTCTTGTAGATGTTTCAGCTCAGGCCATCCTTCCACTCAGTGTCCAAGTACGGGAACATTTAAATAAAACTAAACATTAACATATTCTTTAATGAGAGGATGCACCTGGCTGTAATACGATTTCTTTCACTACAGTTTTAATCAGTTAATCTACATTGAGAACAGTATTCATAGTTTATCAAAATGGTCTCTCTCTCTCCTTCTCTACTGCTGTCTTTTACAAACAAAAATGTGATAGAGGCCGCTACTGTCTCTTGGAGGGGGGGGGGGTTTGGCTTTGGAAAACATTGGTTTGTCTGAAACAAGATATGATAAGCTGAAGGTGTGGCCTTCATAGAAAAAAAACAAAATATGCCAACTATTCTTTAAAGGGCAACTATAGAAGAATCAATCAATGGGGGAACAAAAAAAGGGGTACGGGTGGGGGGGGGGGGGGGGGGGGGGGGGGGGGGGTAAAGACAACTAATTGCACAATGTTCTGCCTGAAACCTGCAGATTTTCATAAACACCAAAAGCAGAAACATTAAAAAAAAACTTCCTCCTCAAAACAAACTTTTGTCAATAGCACAATGTGTAATGTTAGCTGTGAGTACCGGACTAAAGGTTGAACAATCAATTTGCTCTTGTGTGGAAGATACCAAAATCTCAATGTATCCACAGAATGTATTCTTTCAAAGCACAACTGAATGTGTGGAAGCAAGTTAAGCATAGCTGGATGTGACAACTGAATGTGTGGAAGCAGGTTAAGCAAAGCCGAATGTAACAACTTAATGTGTGGAAGCAAGCTAAGCATAGCCAGATGTGACAATTGAATGTGTGGAAGCAAGTTAAGCATAGCTGGATGTGACAACTGAATGTGTGGAAGCAAGTTAAGCATAGCTGGATGTGACAACTGAATGTGTGGAAGCAAGTTAAGCATAGCTGGATGTGACAACTGAATGTGTGGAAGCAAGTTAAGCATAGCCAGATGTGACAACTGAATGTGTGGAAGCAGGTTAAGCATTGCTGGATGTGACAACTGAATGTGTGGAAGCAAGTTAAGCATAGCTGGATGTGACAACTGAATGTGTGGAAGCAAGTTAAGCATAGCTGGATGTGACAACTGAATGTGTGGAAGCAAGTTAAGCATAGCTGGATGTGACAACTGAATGTGTGGAAGCAAGTTAAGCATAGCTGGATGTGACAACTGAATGTGTGGAAGCAAGTTAAGCATAGCCAGATGTGACAACTGAATGTGTGGAAGCAGGTTAAGCATTGCTGGATGTGACAACTGAATGTGTGGAAGCAGGTAAAGCACTGCTGGATGTGACAACTGAATGTGTGGAAGCAAGTTAAGCATAGCCAGATGTGACAACTGAATGTGTGGAAGCAGGTAAAGCACTGCTGGATGTGACAACTGAATGTGTGGAAGCAGGTAAAGCACTGCTGGATGTGACAACTGAATGTGTGGAAGCAAGTTAAGCATAGCCAGATGTGACAACTGAATGTGTGGAAGCAGGTAAAGCACTGCTGGATGTGACAACTGAATGTGTGGAAGCAAGTTAAGCATAGCCAGATGTGACAACTGAATGTGTGGAAGCAAGTTAAGCATAGCCAGATGTGATAATTGAATGTGTGGAAGCAAGTTAAGCAAAGCTGAATGTAACAACTTAATGTGTGGAAGCAAGTTAAGCATAGCCAGATGTGACAACTGAATGTGTGGAAGCAGGTTAAGCATTGCTGGATGTGACAACTGAATGTGTGGAAGCAAGTTAATCATAGCCAGATGTGACAACTGAATGTGTGGAAGCAGGTAAAGCACTGCTGGATGTGACAACTGAATGTGTGGAAGCAGGTAAAGCACTGCTGGATGTGACAACTGAATGTGTGGAAGCAGGTAAAGCACTGCTGGATGTGACAACTGAATGTGTGGAAGCAAGTTAAGCATAGCCAGATGTGACAACTGAATGTGTGGAAGCAGGTAAAGCACTGCTGGATGTGACAACTGAATGTGTGGAAGCAAGTTAAGCATAGCCAGATGTGACAACTGAATGTGTGGAAGCAAGTTAAGCATAGCCAGATGTGACAACTGAATGTGTGGAAGCAAGTTAAGCATAGCCAGATGTGACAACTGAATGTGTGGAAGCAAGTTAAGCATAGCTGGATGTGACAACTGAATGTGTGGAAGCAGGTTAAGCATTGCTGGATGTGACAACTGAATGTGTGGAAGCAAGTTAAGCATAGCCAGATGTGACAACTGAATGTGTGGAAACAAGTTAAGCATAGCTGGATGTGACAACTGAATGTGTGGAAGCAAGTTAAGCATTGCTGGATGTGACAACTGAATGTGTGGAAGTAAGTTAAGCAAAGCCGAATGTAACAACTTAATGTGTGGAAGCAAGTTGAGCATAGCCAGATGTGACAACTGAATGTGTGGAAGCAAGTTAAGCATAGCTGGATGTGACAACTCAATGTGTGGAAGCAAGTTAAGCATTGCTGGATGTGACAACTCCTTAGGTGAATTCAGAATCAGAGTATCATGTATTTGCTGATGTGCACTAATGAAAGTCTCAATGGATAATGAGACATGTCCTTGTATTATCCCTGACTTCCTCTGAGAGCTGAACACCATGTATGTTTCTGTTCTGGCTAGGATGTCAATCTCTGACTAAAGCAGACAAAGGTGATCTTACCTCAATAAGAATGCCCTAGTACCCAGAAAGTCAATACCAAACAAGCAATAGTGGTTATGTAACAATTTTAAACACCAAGATATAAATTCTACTAAACTGTGTTCCCTGTTCATTACAACTTTAAGGCACAAATCAAGTATGTGCCCCATGCACACAGCTGATCTTAGTCAAGGTTTCAATATCATAGCAATCAGGTTTTTCCCATACTTGCTCCGTTCACGTGACTGCAAATCAAATGAAATGTCCTAGACTGTCACGTTTGAAACAAACAACTAGTCCCAGAACAATCCAGAAATATTTCAGTTGCTGGAGGTGCCAAAGCCAACAATCGCCACCAAAAATTCACATTGTTGTTGATAAAATTAGTTGGGCATGATTAAGTTGGTTACTATACACATTTAGAATTATTAAATAAGGTATTTCACCAACTCACAAGTAAATTGGCTACTGGCCATAGTGAATCCATGACACAACTGCTGCCCAGAGGAAAGGCACAGCTTACAAGGCTGCAAGCAAGCACTAATCTTAGTCGCTCAAGCAGCAAAACCGCAGACGACTGTCCTTATCTGAAAACTGCATTAGCAAAGCGCTGTTAGCTGTAAAAATTACTTTGAAGCTTAACATTGTGTCAAGCCATTCCTTCATTTCGGCCTGAAGTCCCAACTGGTGTGACCAATGTACATCCCAAAATGACTTGCATGGCTTCATTCTGCATGCATTTCAGTTTCTCGAGTTGAGTATGAGAAAATGTTAACAGTCCCGGACCATAGACCATCGCAGAAATCATCAGTTGCTGGTAGAGTGTACAGAGCACTCTGTGTTCCATGTCTGCTGATGCCAACATTTTCTAAGCATTGAGTTCTTTCCCTATGTTTAAAAACTACCTCTTCCACATGGTCTTTGAAAGACAGGCTCCTGTCAAAAGTGATTCCTGTATATTTTAGTAAATAATCTCTTAATGTTACTACAATTTTCGGCAACATATCTCTAACAATTCTATTATTAAAGAACACCACAATACTGCTGCCTTATCAGGGTTGATGACCGAACCTATTTTCTCCTACACCCACATCAATTTCTAGACCTAATTGTTGTGACTGCCTCAGATTTCATGTGTGGGTCTGGGGAACAATGTCAGCATCGAAGCAGAGAAAATCATGATGCTAAGTCAGATTTAAATGCTTCTGATTTTACACCGGATAGAGGTCAAAGTTAAAATAACACAGCTACATGAACATGACACTTGCCTGTGCTGCCTAAGTGTAGATTTAAAGATTCCTGCAGACCCGACCAAGTATTACTCTTGTCAGAGGAATGCTGTTCTAGAAATTGTAGCAGAGAGGCCTCCTCATCCTTTTTCTGACTGTATATGAAATCAAAACAATACGTGCTTCTTTATATGTGCCAGCTATAACTCTAAATATAATCTCAAGGAACTATTGTACTGAAATTATGTAGCCTGCCTGCTGTACTCGAGATGTAGAAAGAAGTGATGTAACAATGATGCCACTATTCCTGTAAGACTGTATGTCTGAACATAAGTGACTCCCACAGAAGACTGACAGAGTTGATTTTTGCCTGAGGTAAAGAGAGTAGAAACAAATAAGAGGGATCTGACATTAGAATGTGGAATGTGGAAACAGAATGGCTCTAGCATTATAAGGAATTATTACCTTATGAAAAGACAAACACACTGAAGCCACCAATAACAGATCAAGCAGATGTAACACTAGAGACAACCAAAATGAAAGTAATATATCAATTACTTATCTGGGTAGTATTATTGATAGCAAGGAAACACAAATGATGACACACACTGGCAAGGCATCAGCAGCTTCCAGAAGCTATAACACAATACTCAACTCTATATTAGAGTGTTTGAGAACCAGGTTTCATATTTTCATTACTAATTCTATTTCAGTTTCAGTGAAAGTTTAGATTTAAAAAGAGATTTAATTCAGCACAGAACATTCCCAAAATAAACTTTAAACAAAGAGCGATTTAATACAGCACAGAACATTAAAATAAACTTTAATAAAAAGAGTGTTCAAATGCAACACAGAACCTTCCAAAAAACATTTCAATCAGAAAGATTTATTGCAGCATAGAACATGCTGAAAATATACTTTAAAAAAAGATTTAATGCAGCACAGAACATTCCCTAAATATACTAAAAAGAAAGAGATTTAATGCAGCATAGAGCATTCCCAAAAAATACTAAATAAAAAGAGAGATTTTATGCAGCACAGAACATTCTAAAAATATATAAGAAAGACAGATTGAATGCAACACAGAACACACTAATTAATATATAATAAGAAAGAGATTTAATGCAGCAAAGAACCACAGAACTAAAAAATATTTAAGAAAGAGAGATTGAATGCAACACACAAATATGATGTAATGTGAATGATAATGAAGAACAAAAGATCTTGCTGAATTTTTACATACAGTCAATGTATGACTTTTATCTATACAAATGATATTGAGACACATGGATTCTTGGAAGCTATCACTACCCTCACTGCCAAACAAGTTTTCCATGAAACCATTCAGCTTTTCAGTACTGACTGATGTTAGAAACAAACAAATGAACAAACTTTATTTTCAAGGGTCACAAACTGGGCACGCAGGCCCATGTTAGATCCAAGAATGTCAGTAAATTAGGTTCAACTGGGCACGCAGGCCCATGTTAGATCCAAGAGTGTCAGTAAATTAGGTTCAACTGGGCACACAGGCCCATGTTAGATCCAAGAATGTCAGTAAATTAGGTTCAACTGGGCACACAGGCCCATGTTAGATCCAAGAATGTCAGTAAATTAGGTTCAACTGACCTTGACGGAGGCTGAGAGAGATTATTAGATCCCTTGGAAATTCTGCATTCAACACCTGTGTTTGTACTTCCTCCACATGCAGCTGATACCCCAGCCACAGCAGCAGTAGCTCCACCAGAGACAATAAGATGACTATCCGACCACTGTAAAGCATGCTCCACATCATTGTCAGCAGACCTGGAATGAGGGAGGAGGTTATACAAACATTGGTCTCCCCACGAAAAGTAGGTCAATTTGATTGATAAGTTTGTTGGACTAGTCTACCGTGGTCGAGGTTATTGGTGTGGTTGTGTGTTGTTGTGGTGCATTTAGGTTTTTATTCTGAGAAAGAGACTGCCTCTGACATAGGTTTCATCACTCTCGAGGAGTGCTGTGTGTTAGACCCAGTCTTCACATGTTTTTGGAGTGTCAAAAGCTCTGGCATGGTAAAATATACAACACACGATATCGACCGCAGTGCAGAACAGCCCGTCACCTTGTGTGAAAGTTGGATGGCTCGAGGCCAATCAATCAGGAGTGAGGTCGCCTGAAGGTCGACCAATTAAAAGCGAGCTAATGTTTACCGGTGTGTAGAATGGGGGATTATCTTTTGTTTTAAAGAGGGGATATTTTATGAAAACACAAATGGAGCAGAATGCTCACATGAAGTTATCTGCCACTGATATTATACAAACAACCTATGTAATGCTGATGACACTGTCTTGATAGTGACAAATCAGAAAGAACTATAGGGACTAAAGGGCAGTGGTAGAAAGTGATAAAATGGGCCTAAGCTTGAATAATGGGAAGACTGAAGTAATGGTGACATCCAAGAAAAGTATAATCTCCAATTGTATGATAATTGTTCAAGGCCTTATTTTAGGTCCGGTACAGAAAATGTAAGTATCCAGGCACATGGATAACATTCCATGAAAGATGTATCACAGAGATAAAGAACAGAAAAGGACAGGACAAAACTGCATTTGATAAAATGAAGAACATTCTGCGAAATAAATCTGTCATTGGAGGTTAGTAAAATCATTCTCACATGTTATAGAGAGAGGAACAGTAAATGGAGAGCTATTAGAACAAGTAACAAGTTGTTCCTACCTAGGACACGCATTAACAGACGATGGAAGAAGGGAAACAGAAATCAAAAAGAGAATAGAAATGGCTAAAACTGTCTTCAATAAGATGCACAAGTTAGCTGAAGAGATAAAAAACACACTAAAGATAATAATCATCAAATGTTATAAATATTCAGTCCTGCTATATGGCTCAGAAACTTGGACAATAAACAAACAACTAGAGAATCCAATTGAGTCTCTGGAGATGTGGGTATACAGAAAAATAAGTCGTATTTCATGGAAATAAAAACAGTCCAATACAGAGGTTCTGGAAATGCTACAAATGAAAACAGATTTACTGAAAAAAATTTTTTAAAGGGACAACTGAAAAACTATGGCCCCATTGTATGACATAACACACTTTTCAAAACCATACTGGAAGGAAAGGTCGAAGGCAAGAGAGCAAGATGGACCGGCAGCAGTCTGAAAGAGTTTACAACCAGGACAAGAGAACGAGTGTGTTGGAGATCCAACCTTCACTGTGGAGCTGGCACCTGACTGATTGATACAGAGCCAGTTTTAACATTTGGCTGTAAATCCTGGACAATTAATAAACAAGCCAAACAATTTCTGGAGGCCTCAGTGATGTGATTTTACAGAACAATATTTAGAAATTCTTAGACAGCCAACAAGAGCAAGCAAACCAGATGTTTGGAAAGAGGTGAAAGCTCTAAGACAACTGATCACAGACATTAGAAACAGACAGTCATTGTTTTGTTGGTCATATTATAAGAGGACAACTGGAACATACTGTGACACCTGGAAACATCTGTGGAAAGAGAATGAACGAACAAACTTTATTTTCAAAGGGTCAAAAATTAGGCACACAGGCCTGTCTTACATTCGGCCCTTCCAATCTCCCATCTTTCCCACAGCTGTTGTATTTCATCAATAAAGCATGTTATGTTTATGTCATAATATGAATATTATTAATATTGAGTCAAAAACAAAAGCATGGGTGGTAAAAATATGTGCGCGCACTCGCGCGTGAACATACACACCCACATGCACACACAAACCCATTCACTCACTAACACACACACACATGGGCACCCAATACACGCACACATCCAGATACATACAAACATGCACACATACACATATGTACATGCGTACATACACACACATACATACACACATGCACCCATACATACAAAAATACATCTATACACTTACATTCATTCATACATACATACATACATACATTCATACACACACTCATACACACAGTAACCCACAGACACACACATATGCAGACACAGGCACACACACAAACACATACACACGTAAACCCATTCACTCACTCACACACACACACATAGGCAGCCAATTAACACATACATTCACATATATACAAACATGCACACACAGACACATGCACACACATACGTATGTGTGTATACACACACACATACATACATACACACACACACTCATACACACAGTCACCCATACAGACGCACAGAGAGACAGAGTAAGACAACATGAGAAGATTCTTGACATCTGTTTGTCATGGCATGGAGCCACATCAACACAGGTGATTCAGGCAGTTGGTGATCGCAGATTGTAGAGTAGCATGATCGCCCACACTAGTCAGCAAAGGTGATGATGATGATGAAATTATACAATATCTTCCACAAACAAAAGACAAGCCTAAGTTCTGTTATTTTGGTTACAAAATATTAGACTTTCTTCATTCACTGTTCATGTTTTTATTTATGTTTGACTAATCCTGGACATCTATCATGTTTATAACACAGAATCAATATTTCCCATTTTGATCAGTTAAACTCTGACTGTACAAAACTACAGCTTAAAAAGATTATTGTATTTAACTGATCAGAACACATAGTTTTTGTTCTGCACGCCTTCATTACATACAACCATTACTTATCCCTATTCTCTCTTAAATGCTACTCTCACTTAACTATCCTAAATGTTTCTCCAACTCACTCATTCACATCAGAACCCAGGTGTTTTTATACTGTCTACATAAACAGACTGAAAAAACAAAATCAGGAAAGAATAATAGCATCTACTTCTTCTTCTTCGTGTCCACCCGCTCAAAACTACGGCAGAAAGTTCTGGTTGTTCACCCACTTCTGGATTTTGGTCTTGTGCCAGAACCTAAGTGTTGCATGCACATCCGTTTTACAGATCTGACTTATATGCAGATTGTTAGAACCCTGCCTCTAAGGCAGATGTACTCCGACTTCAAAGGAAGCCCCTCTCAATAAGTCGACTTCTACGACAGTCTTGCTGAGAAGGCAGTGGGTCGATTCTTGTTTTCCCCATAATGGGGCCCCAGAACCCACACAGGGAAAACATTAGTAAGAAGACCACAAAGAGAAATATGCTAAGCAAAACAACAATCAGCTGACATAGACATACATTGTTTCCTCGTCAATATCATTTTCATCTGTGTTCAGCACATTATCAATATCTGCAACTATGGACTCCACTGAGTTCTCATCCAGGTCATGTTGGTTCAATGCATGAAGAAATGAAAGATTTTTCTGGGAAAATGGAAAATAATCAAGCAAATTAAAACAAAAAGTTTTGCTGGCGTCTCAAAGATATGTATTTTGTATTTAGTTGGAATTTGCCACTTCCTACAAGTGTATATCCTGAACCATTTGCAGTTTTCTAAAGACCTTACAGCGCATCTTACAGTCTGACCCCAGAGGCATTCTAACAGACATATTGCACTCACTCCTGAACATTATTTGCTACTAAGTAGATAGAATATTTTGCAGTGTGAGGTGTCTGCCAACATGAACAAGTTGTACGGAGCCCTTTGTCAAAACTACACTGTTAAAAAAAAAACGCATAGTTTTTAAAAGGAACAAACATACTCGCAATTTTGAAATTCTGCATCTTTGTTATGCAGTAAGTGAAATTACTCAAATTTCACACAAGAATACCTTAGGGTTCAACCAATCAATTGACACTTTTGTTTGCATCTGGGTCACTATAGTTTGTTAGCGTAGGTAGGCCTTTCCTTAAATTTATTAGTAGAGGCACCATTCATGACTGCTTGAACATGAACTGATCATTTTGGTGTAGCATTATCCTTTTATAGAGTCTTAATTGCGTAGGCAGTGAATAGTGTTAACCACAAATTGTTTTGCTTTCTTTTGCAGGCATCGTGAGCTATGCTCACAAATATGGTCTTAAACACAACTGATGTAGTAATGATTACAAAAACCCACTCAATTCATGCCCACATGTCCACTGGACACGGTAAACAACATTTAAGTCTGCTTTTCACATACCCGAGTACAATATTTCATTTACAAACTTTAAAAAAAGCGCCATCAGGTTACTATGCCTTATTTTTTTTTTACAGTATTGATTTATGGCTGCATAGTCTGGCTCAACCCTTGTAATCCTGTCCAATAGGATCAAACAAGTGGATGCAAATTGCAGTGTTTTGTCAGGTTTTTCCTTCAGTAATATGTAACTGAAAACAATGACACCATGAAACATCTGGATCTTTTTGACAGTGTACATAACAAAGCACAAAAGGAAAGGTCTAAGAGTAAATAGGAATAATTACTTTCTTAAAGTTGAAGGAGAACTGAACGCATTCAAAGAAATTACAAGAGGCATTCAATCAACAATAACAAGAGACATTCAATCAACAATAACAGGAGACATTCAATCAACAATAACAGGAGACATTCAATCAACAATAACAGGAGACATTCAATCAACAATAACAGGAGACATTCAATCAACAATAACAAGAGGCATTCAATCAAAGGTTTGTTTTCTCACGTGATCTTGACAACATTTACCCAGAAACAATATTCGGAAACACTGAAATGAAATGTGCACTCTTTCTAGACAACACAAATGGTGCAAATACTGAGGACAGCCAGAGTCAATAACACAATGTTCTGGAAGGAGGTGAGAAGGGGAAAAAAGGGGTGGGGTGGAGAAGGAAGGTTGGTGGTGTTGGTGCGCGGGCGTGCACGTGTGTTTGTATGTAGAGAGTATCCTATGCAACTGTAAGAAAGAGACAGTGTTCTTTGCTGATGTAAAGAGCCACTGGAAAATACTGACAAGTAGGGATATCAGCTGGAAAATACTGACAAGTAGGGATATCAGCTGGAAAATACTGACAAGTAGGGATATCAGCTGGAAAATACTGACAAGTAGGGATATCAGCAACAGAAAGAGAAACAAAAACAGCAGAACAAGAGGAATTATGCAGATGGTCTAATATGGAAGTATGTTTGTTTATACAACGGATCAACATCATGGCACAAGAGTGGTCACCCATTAAGATCTCTGTTCTACTTCTAATTGAAGCCTGAGTCCAAAGAATCTCAGCATAGTGCTCAAGCTCCGTAGCACCGGCGAGGATCCTGAAATACTTTGGGTAGATTTTTAACTCCAGCTTTTGCTCCTGCAGCACCGTTAGGCTACTCTTTTCGATTTCCAACTGCCAAAGGATTTTTTACGTGTGAGACAACATACACGGGCATCCGGTCTTACTACCCAGAGACTAAGGGAAATTACTAGAAGTCCACGTGAAAAAATCCCCGGACCCGGGACCTCCAGCACTCGTGGCAGATGCCCTGCCTCGAGACCGCTCAGCTCCCCATATGGTATGATAAAATATCCTCAACAGAACTATTCCAGAGCACCAAAGACTGAGATCTGTGCAGAGGCATGCATGCTGACACTATCTGTTGAAGCAATCCCTTCCTCTTGGTCTCCACAGACCTGGGCAGACATTGACAAGGCAGCCGGTGTCCAGGGCCATCACCCAGGCAGGTAGTAGAATCATGGTCAGCTCTGCTGATACAAACAGCTCAAGTATCAGCCACAGGACTGCATGACATATTTCTGAATGTGCCTATCTTTAGCAACAAAAGTATATCACAAACAATGATCAAGAAGATGAAAATACAATAAACTCTATTTCAGCAGATCAAAGAGCCTCACCTCATGATAATCTTCAGCATCGTAATCACTTTCATCAGATGTAGTACTGCTCTGATCATTTCCATCATCTTCATCATCATCTTCATCATCATCTTCTACCTGCGGGTCTCTAAATGTGTTTGGCTTGGAGGATACTGAGATAGCAGGTGTAGTGGGAGCTGTTGCTGTCGAGTGTGATGAAGATGAAGAAGCTGAGAGTGAAGATGAAGAAACTGCAGCTGCAGATACAACAGCTGCAGATACTACAGCTGCAGCTGTGTCCTGGGTGTTTGAGCCACCCAACTCCATGGGAGACTCAGGCACTGAAGGGCAAGATCAATGATAATAATTGCATGTTAGAAGATACAATCAGAATGTTCAATAAGTTCTATACATGAGCATCCTTTTACATATAAATCTAAACATATAGTAAATGAAAGACATGTCAGCACGGAGGTCCAAGAACCCAGGCGGAGAGCTACACGACAAAAATACAAAGCAGCTGCTATTTAGTTCACCAACCAAGGACAGACTCCCTTCTCCTTAAGTGCTGTCATCAAGATATTAAGTAGTCTGTTGTAAGCATTTTGTAAATCAAGTGCCGCTACCATCATTTCAGTCTGTTCTTAAAACCTTTCGAGGCGTCAAAGGCAAAAGTGGCTGCATTTGACCATGTATCCTTCCCTGACCGGTAACTTCCCAAACCTCCTAGAAAGAGTTTTCTCAGTTCCAAAATTTCTTGTAGACACTGTCTTCTCCAGCACTTTGTGTAATGAAATAGAAAATATACAACTGACGAGTACATATAAAACAGGAAATGTTAAGAGAAGAATGTTATGTCTTGATGGAAGAACAGAGAAGAAGTGAAGTGATTAATTATCATAAGTAACAACTTGAGTACAAATCTGTGTTTTCCAAAGTAAATGCCATTAGGGAAAGTGCAACAGAAAGTGTTTGTTGAGCAAGTGTTTTTAATGTTACCTGGCACACAGGCTTTCTTTCCTGGAGATTTACTTGTGTTCCGTGACATTTCTAGAAGGAGGCGCTAACAATTTGTAAAAAAAAAAGCATAAATTAGTCTTTCTGTCTTTCAGTCTCTTTCTTTCTCTCAAAACCCCCCTCTTTTTTCCCCCACAGCTTCAATATAAAACTGAATGTCTGAACATTGACACAAAAACAGTATCCACTGACTTTTGACAACAAGTATTAACTGCTAACACTAACATCACACAAAGCAACAACTTAACCAATCCCACGGCTGTGTTTCCTATCTTCTGCAGTTGAGTGGCTTGTCACAAACATTTGTCCTACCATCTAGAGAGCAAGTGTTATTTCTATCAACCAAACTTGTGCCATCTCAGCAATAATAGTTTGCTGCACTGAACATCTGATAGCCTGATTCTGTGCTTGGTCTGCTGCTGCTATGTTCTGGCTGCTCTGGGCTTCACAGGGCATTTCTGGAACATAACTACTGAAGATAATCCTTTCAGTCAATGCTTTCGATTTCAGCCCAGTTCTCAAGGGTAAACTAGATGGCTGGGACTCACAAGCAGCAGTTACCGGATCTCCTGCAGCTTCCTCCATGTTATTTGCTTGTGAGTCCCAGCCATCTAGTTTAGCCCCCCCCCCCCCCCCCCCCACGCCGCACATAGCGGCGCGGGTGATACTCTTGGCGGTGGCGGTATAGTTGCCCGAAAAAGGTCTGCAATTTACAATGACTGAGGCCCTGTTAGAGTATTTTTTCAGACCGTTATTCTGAGGATAGCAAATATATTATTATATAAATAAATTATACATCAGTTATTTAAATCCTACAGGCTAGGGAAGACATGGGCAGGGTCTGTTGGTGAAGAATGGGGTGAAGCATGTGCTTCTTGACCTGGGCCAGTGGAATCATGGTACACTAAAGGTTCAAGGGTATACAGATAGATCACGGGGGTACAGCATGGAACTGAGTCAATGTTTACGCTGCTGTTGACTATGTTGTCACAAAGGAACATTGGCAGTGGCTTAAAGAGTTGTAGGAAATCCGTGGTAATAGGCTTCTCATTTGTGGGGATTTCAATGCAGGGAAAAGTACTGGGGAAGAAAGACAAGGAAATGCTTTAGCAGAGGCTATGGTGGATACAGATGTAGTCTGTATAGACGACGGTAGGCCAACTAGAATGGCAATGATCAAACAGTTACTGGTGCCATCGGAACAGGAACTTTTCAGCTGCTAAAGTTGGGGATGAAGCACTTATGGAAGTGTCCTGAGTGCTATGATGTTGATTCTTAATTCAACATTAAATACATTCACTTGCAATGTTCAGTGTTTTGCAACATGCTGTTTTGATATGGATATGTGATTGTGTTGATGCTAGGCACCAACTGTACTTACATCTTTGAGATCACTGTTCTGTTGCAGGTACTGCACCTGGGCCGACTCAAGCTGGTTGATGTACCTAAAGCAGAACATAAAACCTGACAGGTTTCACTGTCTTTCTACAAGCTACTTTTGAAACAATCAAGTGTTTCATACAGACAGCAAAACAGAGAATAAACTTGTGACATTGATTCTTATATGTTTGGAAACTGACAA